TGTCATGCTCAGAAGAGCATTGGGCTGATGACTATGAGGCACATTTGGAAATTTGTGATACCCTGCGGGAGATAAATGAGGATGATCATGATCTACGCTCCGGCAGGTTCTTTCCAGAATTCGAGTACCCTGGAGATCAGATTGAAGAAGCGATGGTTAACATGACAAATTGGGATACTCTATTGTTTTCGAGAGAGTTTAAGGCCATCAATGACGAAAGAAGTTTACGACAAGCAACTAGGTTGTTGACGTACCCTCTTACTATTGGAAGTGTGCTGCATGAATTGAGTCCTTACAATATCAAGAAGGGTGGAAGACTGACCGTCGAAGGTCTCAAGAGTTTGAGTGGTATGTCGGACCTCCGAATCTCTTAGAGAACTGTTGGCTAACAAAATCAGCTCTTCGTTATAACCTACACCCTGCACGAACCGGTGGTGGATCTGAAATCAAGAATCTTAGACCAACCCCGCCACCAGTGAGAATCTTCATTCTAGGAGCTCGTGCAGAATCTTCGTTACCAAGAGAAGTTTGGGTGCAATTAGCACATCTATTTCCTCGAGTTACATTCCACTTGATCTTCATTGGACCCGAAAGTATGGCGAACAGAGATGCTGAATTTCCTTTACCTGAGAGAACTCCGGGAAATCCTTTTGGCTCAATTGTTGAGGATCGTATCACAAACTCCTTGAAGATTAGCACTTTTGTGGAATATTATCACACCCTTCACAAAGCCGGTCACTTTTATCCTTATGATCCTTACTTTGATTGCTTCATGCTTTTCCATCCTGGTTTAGGACATCCAGCCAGTTCACACGAGTGGGCGGAAACTATCCCACAACTGTTAGAGACCAAAGTGCCAATCTTGGTTACTGGATACACACAATACGATATGGATCGAGATATTGATTGGGTCAAAAAGACCGTAGGTGGGGAAATGGACATGTTGATGGAACCAGGAGAGAATCGCTTCCGAAGTTTGAGATGGGATCTGAACGATATGGACCCTCAAGACGTTAGTTGCGGTAATTGGGGTGTTTGGGCATTCAGAGGAAAGAGGTATGTTCTCACTTTGATCCATGACAATAACTCAACTATGACTCGATACTGATGATTTATAGGTACGAAACCACAAGGGGCAAAGAGGATTGATTTACTATGGTATAGATCATAGTCACGAATATGATGTTCAATGTATCAGACGGACTGTTCGCTGTGTATTAATTCCCAATGATGTATAAATTCAACCCCATCCTATCCGCATTGATCTTGACTGTACCATGATGAATTATTGAATGTACTAAATGACACAAAGACTTCAAGTCTCATCTCCTGCTAATAAAGTCAAATGAAACATTCCTCTTTGACATAACATTGTCCCAAGTTTATCTACAAAAACTCCGGAACTCCTCCAAACGCGCCCCTTTCTTTATCTTATCGCAGCCGAGGAGCGGAGAAAGGCCCAGGCACATATTGAATTTCCTCCACAAAACGTCATCGTGAAAAAACAACATTGAACTTCCAGTCCTCGCATCTGAAAGTATAATATTTTTTTTTACAAACTCAAATTTTTATTTTCAAAAATGTCTTCAAAACCTACACGTTCATTGACAACCATCTATGTTACTCGCCACGGCGTAAGTTTTCTCTAATAGTTTGTGCTTTATCCATACTGACCGACTTTCCCAAGTTTCGTTCAAATTGGATTGTCGACCCTGCAACAGGTACATATACCGCCAATATCCCCACTCCTACCGGTATACCTAGCGATCCCGCGCTCGCAGGATATGGCGAAGCGCAAGCTGCAGAACTTGGTCTCCATCTAAGCACCCTTTCTCCACCCATCGAACGAATCTACTCCTCTCCCTTCTACCGCTGTATCCAAACGATATCTCCTCTCATCCCCCATCTCTCGTCCCGCACAAGTGACCCAGCGTCTCTTAAAATCCGTGGTGAAAACGGCTTGGGTGAATGGTACGGCACTGCTCGATTCGATCATCCTAGTCCTGCTACGCCAGAATTATTACACTCTTTATTCCCTGCATATGATAAAGAATACGTGCCGAAAATTCGGCCAAGTGTTAATGGAGAGAGTATAGAGACTTTGCATGATAGGACAGCATATGCGTTACATAGAGTTATAGAAGATGCGGACAGAGAGGGTGTTAAGGCTATTGTCATATGCACACATGCGGCGACTTTAATAGCGATTGGCAGATGTTTGACGGGGAGAATGCCAGAGGATGTCGGTGAGGAGGATTTCAGACCGTTTACTTGTGGACTGAGTGTCTTTGAGAGAAAGGGGAGTGGAGATGAGGTAGGAAAGGATGTGGATATTTGGAAAGGTCCAGAAGAGGAGATTCCTGAAGTGGGATGGAGAAATGGCAATGGTGTTGGAGGTGGATGGGAAATTAAGAAGAACGGTGATTGTAGCTTCTTAAGCGGAGGAGAAGAACGAGGATGGTAAGTTACTCGATAATGATTTTGGAGTGAGACTGCAGAATGAAGTATACTAACTTTTCATAGGCGTTTCTCTGGAGATGAATCATTCTCTACAACTCCAGCTCTGCCAGCCCTAGATGCTGGATCTGCGCTGGGTGTTGTTATCGAAGGAAATAAACCAGGAAATACTTCTGAGCCATCTAGATTGTAATGATTGATGGACTGTAGGGCGAGTTATTGTGGATGGTCACGATTTTGGACGAAATCCTGGATATGTTTTAGACCTATCTTTGGATATGGAGAACGATACCCGATCAACGTGGTGGATAGATTGATATACAAGAAGACTATAGATAGCATGATATCCCAGACGCCAGAAATAATGCATTAATCTCTTCTAATTACATTTGACAATTTATCTAAGCCTGTACGATGCAAAATCATAATGTGGTGTATATCTATAACTCCCCCTCTAAAAACAACTTGTGTAATATATTCATGTATCATATCTAATATCCCGCAGGCTCTTTGATCTTGGGAAAAGCCGGTGCATCTAGATTGTTTAAGCAATCCTTCTTCCAGTGAGCGGGAGTGAACTTGTCAACTATGTTCTTGAATTCCTCCTGAAAATAATTAGTCAAACGTCAGATGGGGACTTTTGAGGGTGAAAAAATACCAATGTACAGTATGACTGGTCGCCATCAAGATGTTTGCCTTGTGGCCTACACCCAGGAACTGTCACAACCTCATCATTATAACGAATTCTAACATAATGGCCATCTAGCTTGGATCTCTCCGTTTCCGAGAGGTCACTAAGCTTCTTCCTTGCAATACCAATGGGTCCTGCTTCAGTTTTCTTGCCCAATCCAAATATTGAAAGCAGTCCTTTTCCGGTACCAGTACTGTTGCTAGGCAGCTCATACTTAGGTTCTCCAAGCGAGGGTTGCTTTTTACGAAACATCTCTAAAGCAATATGTGACGTATAAGGTGGCCAAGGCCGATCCTCAAATGCCCCTAGACTAGTAAGAACGGCAGCGAGAGTTGTATCATGGCAACCACTCAAGCCCATCTTTATAGCTCTCTCCCCTCCTCTTCCAATGCCAGTCGAACCATTCTCACCGCCAGTTTCGAACAAGCCATCTTGCCCGTTATGTTCAACACTTCCAACCATTCTCTCAACCAAATCACCCATGAGTCCTCCAATACCAAGAGAGCGATATTCTTCTGACTCGTTATATCCAGTAAACCATTCCTCAACTCCTATTTTTTCTATGATAGCCCGACCTCTCTGATCGTAGAATTCTTTGGGTAATCTGGTTTCAGGACCATGGGCTAGGGTGGAATTAATGGTGTCCATAATACCGGAAAGTCTGGGGTGAGAGTCGACGGCTACTCGTTTACTGGAATCCGGCATCCACTTGCCAATAAGGAAGTTCAAATATTCCATTTCGTCTGTTTCGTTCCAACGATCAGCGGTTCGCTGTGCGAAAGCTCTGGATAACTGAGCAAATCTCCTACACCCGCTATCATTCGGGAACAAAGTCTCATCTAGGGAATTGGCGGTTAGCATGAAGCTCAAGGTTCGAGAGTATGCAGCACATACCAGAAGGCGAGCGTGTGATTATAGTTGGCGGTGGGCAAGCTGCAGCGCGGGCATAGGGCGGATACATGCCGAAGAAAGCTTCCTGCATTGATTCCAGAGCTCTTGGGATTGGCGTCGCGCGGAGGTACAAGAAATCGGTATTGTGTATCATTTGAGGGAGGAATCCCAATTGGTCAATGTAAAGTCTTCGAAGTCGAGTTCCCAACTGCGAAGTCGTTTCTCTCCCCTTGTCTGTCAATTCACCCAGATTGCAAACATCATCCACTTCTCCTCGAGGTCCTCGTGCAATAATAGGACCATCATCATTGCCGAATGTTTCCAGGCGACGTCTCCATTGCAGAGGAGTCCAATCTGATGAATTAGCTTCCATTGTAGCGCTCACCATTCGCCGAGCTGCTGAACAATATGGCCAGTAAGGTTGCAGTCCAGCATTCTGAAATCTCGCAGAAACGGGACTTCGTTCGCCATGTCGCATTAGAACCTGAACAAGTTGGAGTTGTAGCTCATCGGGGTATAACTTTTTGAGCTCCTCTTGCGAGTATGGACCGCGAGGCTGTAGTGTAGTCATTGCAATACCTTCCTTATGTATTTCAACTGAATATCTGTTTCCGTATTGTATTTGTAGAGTTAAGTTGACAACCTCCAACTCCTTTTCCTACACCCAAGAAAGCATGGGATTGTATCAAGCTTTAGATATGACATGATTGACATGGTACCTACTATGCTCAAAGCCAAGCCCGGGATAGTTTCGGGTACCTAGCCTCCTAGCTTAGTAAATCGTCATCAACCAATGGATAGTGGATGAGGTCGTGCCATCGGCATTTAAGTTTCCGACCTGTCAAAGGTTTCCATGGAAGTTTAATAAATTTATATATAATATTGTTGAAATGCGATTCATGTGTACCAGCTTTTGATCAGTTCACAAACCCTCATATTTTCCTACCGTGAGACAGTTGATATGAGCTCTCCTTATGTTTGTATGACATGTCGACAAGCTCTCAGTCATTTACGTCGAAGCAAATCCTTCCAATGGCACTCGAAAGCTACATTTAACTCTCTAATCAGTACCCTCAAAACTCCACGAGTGAGCAATATAAAGAGGATTATGCGGAATCGACGAGAGGTTTCCAAGGCGGGGAAACGAGGAATAGACCAAAATTGCCGCGGAGACCACCGGCTACTCGCCATGCGACCAGAGAGCCAGCAGATGCATTGGAGTCAATGTTTGAAGATACCCTCAAGCAACAATCGATTCGACAAGCAACTCGTACATCAGAGCTTTCCCAGAGGACATCCTCGACCGTGAAGGCTTATCAAGATGGAGAAAAGTTAAAGGAAATGCTCCGGGAGGAACGCCCCCTTAATGATTGCTGGTCCTTTTTCGTGGAACATTTTGGCCCTACTGCTTGGAAAAATGGTACAATTAGTCGAAATTCATGGCCTGTCTACCTCAAGTCTACAGTACCAAGAATGCTGAGGCTCATAAGAGAGCAGAGAAAGGAGCAGCCTCTTCGTAACGATGTGCCTACTTTTTCAGAAATGATACTGGTCACGCTTGAGTTGGGTTTACTGCGTGGCACTCAATGGGTACAAATGATAACCACATTGATTGACAGCATTTTAGAAGCCGGTGTTACAACGGCAGAGGGACAGACACTACTATCTGAACTCCTCAAAAGTTGGAATATCGTTTGTCGTCGTCGGCCTCGACGACTTCAAAGCCAAGAATTAATTAATAAATCAGATCCCGAAGTCATACCTTCTTGTTCCGACTGGTCAAATCTTCCTAGTCATTCTTTGCATAGCATCTTTCTGGAAAAACGCCAAAATGGAACTCAACACGCATTTAGTCTTCTCACTCCACAATTTTCCCCGGGTGAGATGTATCAACTGCCTACGATCGCACTGGGAACACTTAAGCTTCTCCTTGAACTTGATAAGACTGGAATTGGCGCAGCTACCATGGTGGAAGATGCGAAGCCACTCATGTTAAAGTTCTCGAATATCGTCAACGCATGTTCGATGTCTCTGATTGATGCCGCTGAGTTCTTCCGAGATGTGCCTGAATCTGTGGTCAGTCTAGTCAAAGATGATTGGTCTACCATCAAGGAGTTCATCGAGAAGCAGAATGTTAGGAAGGATTTTAAAGTGACGGAAAATATGCGAACTCAGGCTTTACACAAGAAAGTTATTGATGCGCATGCTAGAAGAGACGTCGCTTCACTAGATCGACTATGGTCCCAAGCGCAACAACTTCCAATCTACATCCCAACTGCCAAAGATGGTTTCGAATCTGGTTATCGAACCGGCTATCTCACTCCTGCTTTTTACAACCTGTTCATTTTGTTATTCATGAATCTCAAACAACAACCTCGAGCCATTGAAGTTTGGAATCACATGATCAAAAACAATCTTACTCCAAACCTTGGTGCCTGGGATGCCATGTTGAATGGCTGCAAAAATTCCCGCGATGCCAAAGGCCTTGAGCAAGTCTGGGCCATGATGATATCATCTGGAGAAAAGCCAGACGTAACCTGTTGGACTACCAGAATCAGTGGTCTTATTCACTGTTATCAGCCAGAAGCTGGTATCCGCGCACTAGATGAGATGGGTCGCTTATGGTTAGCGGCAGCGCGGAAGAAATATCCTAATCTCAAGATCTCAAATTCGAAAAACGTGAAAGATATCCCGGGAGCTGTCAGACCTACTATTGCAACCATTAATGCCGCAGTGTCTGGTCTTATAAAAAGACAAGAAATAAAAGCGGCCGATCGCATCCTCGCTTGGGCAGACCAATGGGGTATCATTCCAGACGTTCAAACATATAACACACTTCTTTCGTCAATAGTCCGCGCTGGCCATCCAGATAAAACTCCAGAAATTTTGACTTCTATGGAAGGTCACGGCGTCCAAGCAGATGCTGCCACTTTCGTCACCATCCTGGATCAAACATTTGCAGATATAGAAACTCTTAGTCCCACAGAACAAATTGAAGCCATAAACAATACCTTCCTCGCCATGGAACAAATGAAGGTCACACCAAACCAGTTCTTATACGGTAAAATGATCTATCTCCTTCTCCGAGGCGTCCCCACAGATATCACTCCCGTGTCAGAAGTCATGAATCGAATGGCAGCTCAAGGACTCACCCCCTCTACATACATCTACACCATTCTCCTCGAATACTATTTCGCACAATCACCCCCCAATTTTCAAGCCGCGACCGCTCTGATCGAACGCGCGCAACTCACGGTCGGAACCGTAGATCACATCTTCTGGGATCGATTGATCGAGGGATATGCAAGCGTAGGGGATACCGATACGGCGATTTCGTATCTGAGAAATGTGCAGAAGAGTAAACAATTCACATCGTGGAATACGATGCGTACTTTGTTGATGGCGCTCGTGGAGAAGGATGAGTGGGATGTTGCGACCGAGTTGGTTAATAATGCGGTGAAGGATACGGGGGGGCCGATTGGGGCTGAGGTGAAGGGTGTGGAGGGTCAACATAAGTTTTGGGAGTTGGTGAGGGAATTGAGAATTTTGGATTGAGGGTTGAGGGTGGAGTGTGTGAGGAGTGAGAATGGTGTAAAAAGAGTGAGAGCTATAGAAATAGAAACATACATCTAGCTCTTGAAAGTTTATAGATTTTTCATCTTGTTCGATATCCCTATGCCAATGAATAGGTTTTAGAATAATATAGCTATTATATATATATATACACATACATTTCTATCTTCACTCACTCGACGTTAATTGTCTAGGTGGTTTGAGTACACAGCATAGTTTGATTAGAAGAGCTTAGCTATAAGGCCTAGCTAGTACCTACATTATCCGAATATAATTGAATGAGACCGACCTACTTTAGGATTTAGACCCAGTTAGACCATAATAACCTAGCTATTCTACCAAAATTACCACACGCATTTCTTAAGGAGGTAGTATCTACAATATGAGGAATGATAGATAGATCAAAATAGCCCAATTGATTCATAAGCAATTTTGAAAAAAGTAGGCGCACTAACTAACCTTCAACTGATGAATAATCTGTTACAACGGATTAATAATAGACTGTAGAATCACTAACTTATAGGCTATAATAGTATATTACATTACATCACGTTACATTACACCTACTTTAATCTAATCTTATTCATTCATCTCATTTAAAGCTTCACCATATTTATACTTAGGTATACTATACTATATCATATTCATATTTATCTCCATCTTCAATCATCCTATCTCCTATCTAAATCTCCTATTTCCCCATACTAGATCATCATAGCTACGACCACAACTACAACCACAAAAGCTCATTCATTCATTCTAGACGACTCATCATAAGAAGACACCCACACAAAGAAACATAAAGAAAGAAAATTTCATCTCTACTATCTCAAGTCATCTCAATTCATCCAATCTCATCCTATCTCATCTCAAATGATCTACCAGACCCGTCCAAGCGACCCGCGAAACAAACATGAGGTCTTGAGCTCGAGGTCATGAGCTCCATGCCTCCCAAAAACGAAGAGAAGAATAGTCATTCCCATTTTCATTCGCATTCGCATTCACATTTCCATAACTATTTCCGAATCCAAACCCCTGTACATTTTCCATCTAGACATCATACCAGACATCTAGCCAAACCCCAAACCAAGATAAAAGTGCACACCATCTATCGAGCCATTCCCAAACTCATGACTCCAACCATATAATTGCTCTGCAATCTTCGTTTTATGTCCCATCATATGTACCGTATCTCATTTTCATATATCCATGCTCCAACCTTTCTCAATATGGATAATCACATCATAGCGCACGCACTACTTCTCGCCCTCCTTCTTCTTCCAACGCCCCCACCAGCAGCCACCCCACCTTCTTCTTCATCAGCATGCATCATCTGTGCTTCTCTTGCTCTCCTTCTCCTCCTCCTAATCCCGGCCCCACCGGCACCAGCCTCTTCATTCGCCATCATATATTCCGTCCATTTCCTCTCTAATCTTCCTGCTGCCGAAAGATCTCCCCTCAAAACTCTCTTTGTATGTTCATCCACTGTTAATTGCCAACCATAGAAGCACTTGAGCGTAATAATTTCCGTGGGAAATGAATATCTATGTAAATTATCATGATCAACCGGCTTCGTAATTTCAGAGTTCCGCGAAAGAACTTCACGAATTCCGGTCCACGTAACATTCGAACAATCGAATACTACCATGCGAAGACCAGGACAAGGACGTGATAATGGATTTGTTGTACGTGAGGATCGGAGTCGAACCATAGTTGCTGCTTCGGCAAGGATTAGATCGCTGATTCTCGTATTGTCCATGTCGATATTTCGAAGACCAGTACAAGAGCGGATAACAGGGAGCATACCCGTGTCACCCAAATTCTCACAATAGCTGACAGAGAGATGTTGGAGAGTGGGAGCGCAAGGTGCCTTAGCGAGATGGTTGGATAATAAATCGTTGCTAAGCTCACTGAGATCTTCCAAATCGAGATGTGTCAAATTTGGACAGGTAGCTAGAATGTTTTCGAGTGCTTTGTCTGTTAAAGTAATACATCCACTCAATTGCAGACCTTCCAAGTCTGGACAAACATAGGCAAGTGATTTCACACCTTCATCCGTCAATCTGTTACAGCGGCTCAAATCCAGATGTCGAAGTTTCCGTTGCGGAACTAACGGCGCATAGCTGAAAGCGTCGAGCTCTGGATCATTCCCATGCATCATTATCTGGAGAGCATCATCAGTAATATCTATACAGCCACTCAAGACTAGTCGCTCCAGTCTGTTAGTCTCGAATATTAGTAGCGCCAGATCCTCATTGTCGAGGCCTCTAACTTCTCCAGCACGGAGATCCATCAAATTTGGACAGCCTCGAATGACTAGCTGTAGACCAAGCGCATCCATATGAGTACACCATGAGACATTGAACATCTGGAGATGCGGACAGGATTGTGCTATGATCTTGCACGTTGCGTTTGTGACAGCTGACAATCCAGTAAGATTAAGATTGGTTAATCTTCCATTGGTTTTCAAAAGATTGTGCAAAGTTGCTTTTTGAAAATTTCGACATCCTTCAAGTGTCGCATTGATAAGATTCTTGCAGGCTTTCACTATCACTTCTGCACGCTTGTAGTGCTCGACTTGTACGCAACCTCGAAGGTTGAGATCTTTGATGAAGGGACCTGCTGATACAATGATCTTTGCCAAAGATTCAGCGGGAATATCCGCATAGAATTCCGAGGCATCGAAGCATGTCCAGAGCTGTCCATCGAAACAAGTTTTGTAGAAATCTTGACAAGTGTTGGAAGCTCGTACCAATTCCTTTGGTTTCAGGAATGCAAAAATGTGTAGCTTGACCTCGTGTGGCATTTTGTCCCAAAATTTAAAGTTGCTCTTCTTCAAAGGTTTAGATTTTACGGTCATCGGCTGTGAAAAGTAATCCTCGACGATTTCATCATCTGGAGATGAAGTCGCAGGTTCTCCTGCCTCTGCGATGGTTAGTTGTTGTAAGTCCTGCATCAGTGTTGATGCACCAGCCATCGCTTCGTTCTCGTTGCGCTGAATAGCAATGTGACGATACATTGGATCATAATATGGCGTGTCAAGACCAGGGGTAACTGGTGTCGAATCTGCTTCTGAGCTAATTCCTGAACTTGGCCCCGAGACTGGTGCTGCGGACGAACTTCCTTCTGTTGATTGGGCGGGAGGGTTCTCCGAGATGGGAGGAGCGAAGCTTAGACAGGAAAGTGTTGACCTGCTCCCATATGGACTACTCTTCGCTCGTTTCCGACTGAACTGTGCGAGTGTAGGCGATGAAGCTATTCTTTGAAGCCATTTGCCTTTGGACTTGACAGGTCTTTCATCGTTCATGGCTGGTGTTGAACTTCCGACTGGGGTTGAGAACCCCGCCATTGTGTTGGCCATTTGATCGTCGAATGTGAATTGAAACTCTGAGATAATCTCCTTGTCCCGGGAGTTCGGTGTCGATTGTGTTTTGGAAGAGAGGCCAGTGACCAAAACGTAGCTAAAGACTGGCTGACGATGAAATTCGGGAGGGTCCTTGATTTCAATTCACTAATGTCTCAACCCCGGGTTGATCAAATCCAAGGTAAACAAGGCACAAGTGTAAAGGAATCCCGTTTATCGATTGCAAAATGTATGCGAATCGAAGATGCAACAATTATTCCGGGAGACAATGGAAATATTTAAATCCTTTCCTTTGTTCTTTTAATAGGACCGACCAGCGATGATTATGTCTTCCTCGGCTCTTGCAACGTAAAGTGGGAGATGGATGTTTGAGGCGGGGAGATAGATAGGAGTATAGTAGAAGTAGAAGATCTTCTGTGTATCTGCTATCTTGAAGAATTAATGGCACAATTCACAAATGAATCAATCATGTATGCACATGCACATGCACATGCATATGAAATATGACAAGAGTAGCCAAAGACACTCACCACTTAGAAAAGAGGATGGATGCAATGGAAATGATAAATATCTCGGAATACCAGAACCGGTATCGAATATCGATCACTTTCCAAGTCCTTATCGCAAAGCCTCCTTATCGGCTCAACGGGGCTTTGCACATGAACAAGCTTCGTGATTCGGGAGAATGATCAGATGTTCAAAATCGCAAGCATGAGACAAGATTTGATTGTGAAGAGTGTGGTGAGTGAGAGGGTGTGAGAGAGATTGGAGATAACGAGTAGAAGAATTGCCCTGCAATGAAAGGGGCGAGAGAGGTGAGAGGAGAGAGGAGAGAGGAGAGAAGAGATCGGAAAGAGGTGAGAAGTTAGAGGTGAGACTGCGAGAGGTTATTGAATAAACAAGCCAGTCCAGTCAAATCCAATCCGTCCAGACAGGCGGAGTCCCGACCGATGTACGGCCACTACGAGTTTTAGACTCTCGAGGGTGGACACTGGGGGCATAGACTTTCCAGTTTCCAAACAAACACTGGAAGGCGATAGGTTGAGAATTCAAAATGCACGTAAAGACAGTGCTGAGTGGACACTCAATGATTGATCAGTGAGTCTGGAAGGCTGGAACCGATGGGTTCACCAGCCAAAGTGGTGGTCCCGTTGTTTGGTCGCATTATTCACTGTGAGAAACATCCATTCTTGCCCCATACATACATGATGTACATCCACAAACACGCAAGCAAGCAAGTCAGCAGCCAGTCAGCAGCAAGTCAGCAAGCAAAAATAATTTATTTACAATATGAAATGTTGTAGTTTTTGTTTTTTTACAGCTGATTGAGGGTAACTTGTCTTTTACGAATGGATTTGTATTCGAATTCAATTGAATTGAATTGAGTTGAATTGAGTTGAATTGAGTTGAATTGACTTTATTTCAGCCTGTAGTAGATTATCATGCAGCAATATAATAAACAGTATTCAGAAAGCCATGTTGCTCATGTCTCTCTCTGTGTCGATAGATCTCTTTCCCTACCTAGTGTGCGCGATCTCATCACTTGACCTATCATTGTAAAGTTGTAAAGTCAAACCTCCAATCGCCATCCACAAATCCCCTGTCTCTCTTCCACATC